TCTCCTCTCATTCTCTCTCCTTTCTTCCTCTCCTCTCATTCTCTTCTCTGCTTCATTCTCTCCTCGCTTTCATCTCTCTCCGCTTCATTCTCTCCTCGCTTTCATTCTACTCTCTCGCTTTCATCTCCTCTCGGCTGTCATTCTCTCTCTCGCTTCATTCTCTCTCTCCTTTTCTTCTCTCCTCGCTTTATTCTCTCTCTCGCTTTCATTCTACTCCTCAGCTTCTCATTCTCTCTCTCCTTCATATCTCTCTCTCGCTTTCATTCCTCTCTCCTCCTTCATTCTCTCTCGCTTCTTCTCTCTTCCTCTCATTCTCTCTCTTCCTCTCATTCTCTCTCACTCTCATCTCTCTCGCTCTCATTCTCTTTCGTTCATTACTCTCTCGCTGTCATTCTCTCTCTCGCTTCATCTCTACTCTCTCTACGTGTCCTTCTCTCTCTTCTCTCCTTCATTTCTCATCCTCTCTCGCTGTCATCCTCTCTCTCTCTCTCTCCCTGTCATTCTCTCTCGCTCTCCTTCAATTCTCTCCTCTCCGCTGTCATTCTTCTCCTCCTCTCTCGCCTGTCTATTCTCTCTCTCTCTCGCTGTCATTCTCTCTCTCTCTCCGCTGTCATACTCTCTCTCTCTCTCGCTTCATCTCTCCTCCTCTCCCTTCATCTCTCTCGCGCTCGCTTCATTCTCTCTCTCTCTCCTCGCTTCATTCTCTCTCTCTTCTTCTCGCTGTCATTCCTCTCTCTCTCTCTCTATCATTTCTCTCTCTCTCTCCTTCATTCCTTCTCTCTCGCTGTCCATCTCTCTCTCTCTCTCTCCCTTCACTTCTCTCTCCTCTCTCTCTCCTTCATTCTCTCTCTCTCTCTCGCTTCATTCTCTTCTCTCTCTCTTCAGCTGTTCTATCTTCTCTCTCTCGCGTGTTCATTCTCTCTCTCCTACTCCTTGTCATTCTCTCTCCTCTCGCTTCATTCTCCTCTCCTTCTCTCATTCTCTCTCTCTCTCGCTTCATTCTCTCTCTCTCTCTCTCGCTCTCATTCTCTCTCTCTCGCTCTCATATCTCTCTCTCTCTCCTTCATTCTCCTCTTCTCCTTCTCTTCTCTCCTCTCTTCCTTCTAATATCTCTCTCTCTCTCGCTCTCATTTCTCTCTCTTCGCGCTCTCATTGTCTCTCTCTCTCGCTGCTCATTCTCTCTCTCCTCGTCGGACTCTGCTCTCTCGCCTCTCTCTCTGGCTCTCGCTGCTCAACTCTCTCTCTCTCTCGTCTCTCCCTCATTCGTCTTCTCTCTCTCGCTTCATTTCTCCGTCTCGGCTTTCATTCTCTTCTCCTCATTGCTCCTCCTCAGCTTCTTCTCTCTCTCGCTCTCATTCTCTCTCTCGTCTCATTTGGTCATTGGCTCGCGCTCGTTCTCTCTCTCGCTCTCAGTT